AGGTGTTGACGGCCCAAAATCACCAAACGGGGTCGGATTGATACGAAATTTGGCACACACGACTGCCTAGGCACGAGAGACTTGTGGGAGAAGACGGGACTCGAATCGGGTTCCCGGTTTGGGAGTTAGAGCCATATTTCGGTTTAAGCAAACTAGTTCCTTAAGAAACTTAAATTCGAGGTGTTGACGCCCCAAAATCACCAAACGGGGTCGGATTGGCACGAAACTTGGCACACACGACCGCCTAGGCACGAGAGACATGTGGGAGAAGACGAGGCTCGAATCGGGTTTCCGGTTTGAGAGTTAGGGTCGGATTTCTATCTAGCAAAAATTATTCACTTAACTATCTTTGTAATTATATAGTAATTAATTTTTTATGTTTTTTTTGTAATTAAAATATTAACACATAATTATATTGTCATTAATTATTTTTATTTTTTATTTTCAGATATTTCCTAAGTAGCAGTTTGCTTCTTGTGAAATGCAGCCGTGTGAAGATTGCGACGAACTTTTGTTTTTTTAACCCACGGAAGAATTATGAAGAAAACTTTTATTTTTGATTTACGCTATTTAGATTTGTGAACAATATTATGTATGTATTATGCAAAATTATGTGGTTGGATAATTTTGTTAATGTGTTGTTATGAATGGAAGAGTACTTTAATTATGGATGAAATTTTATTTACATACAGGAATTTTTATATTATTATATAATTATCGATTTTTTTTAGCAATTTTTATTTAATACAGGTAATTTGCATATTTTTAATAATTTTATTGCAGCAGTTTTGTTAGAACCAGGTTTTTGCGACGGTAGCGTAGCCGTCGCCAATGATGTTGGCAATATTAACAAAAGGCCTTTAGCGATGGTATTTTCACGATCGCAAATAATATTTTAGAGACGGCACATTTTTCTGTCGCAAATAACAGTATTAACGACGGTATTAAACCCGTCGCAAATAACCATTTTAGCGACGGTATTTTAACCGTCTCAAATAAACCCTTTCGCGACGGTATTTTTCCGTCGCAAATAACCATATTAGCAACGGTATTTTAGTGCCGTCTCAAAAATTTCAGATTTTTACACATTAATTGCGACAGTATTTTGCCGTCGCTAAAAGGCATTTTTGCCATCGCCAATAGACATTTTTGCCATCGCCAATATTTTGCAACGGCGTCTTACCGTCGCTAAAGACCTTTAGCTACCCCTTTTTTTGCGATCCCCCTATTACCGTCGCTAAAAGCTATTTACCGTCGCAAAAAAGCTTTTGAGACGGCTTTTGGGGTATTGGCGACGGTATTTTACCGTCTCAAAAAAGCGAATTTTTTGTAGTGAAAGTAGTAGTGTATATATAATCACACTTTTAATTAGAAGGTGTGATTAAAAAATATATATATAATCACACTTAATTGAAAAGTGACATAAAAAATAAATATTATCACACTCAATCAAATTAAGTGTGATTAAAATATCAATCTAATTTTTTTTTATCAATAAAAGTGAGATTTTTTTTTTGTCAAAGTGTGATCTTTAACTATTTTTGTAGTAGTGATTGACATTAATTAATATCCAAATGTAACACTATGTACTTTTTCCAAACATAATACTCAAATATAACATTAAGAAAAAAACTCTTTAGTATAACACTCTAAAGTAGTACACAAAAAAAAATTCTTATTATAGCACTCTAATGTAATACACATAAAAACTCCTTAATGTATTTTTCTTAGACGTAACACACTAATATGACACACACAAAAATTTATTAATGTAACACGCACAAAAACTCCTTAGTATAACACTCTAATGTAACATAAAAAAAAAACTTATTGATGTACTTTTTCAAATGTAACACTCTAATATAATACTCTAAAAAGACTCCTTAGTGTAACATTATAATGTAACACACAAAAACTCGTTAGTGTAACATTCTAATGTAACACACAAAAAAACTCTTTAGTATATTTTTTCTAAACGTAATACTTCAATACAACACTAAAAAAAAATTCCTTGGTGTAACACTTTAATGTAACATACAAAAAAAAATTCTTTGGTGTACTTTTTCCAAATGTAACGCTCTAATGCAACACACACAAAAAAAAATTTCTTAGTGCATTTTTTCCAAACATAAAACTCCAATGTAACACAAAAAAGAAGAAGAAGATAATGTGAGATTCTTCAAACTATTCTAAAAGGAGTACAAATATTCCTTAGTAAAGTTTGAACAAATGAAAAAATTGCAAACTATGAGTGTTATGTTTGAAAAAAATACCCTAAGAAGTTTTTTTTAGTGTTTTTGTGTATTACATTGGAGTATGTTACATTAGAGTGTTATGTTCAAAATTACACATATTGAAGTGCTACGTTTGACAAAAGTACATTAAAGTTTTTTTTTTTTTTTTTTGTTGGGTTGGGTTTTTTTTTTTTTTTACATTGGAGCGTTACATTTGGGAAAAGTATACCAAATAATTTTTTTTGAGTGTTTCGTTGTTACGTTTGAGAAAAATATACCAATAAGTTTTTTAGTGTGTTACGTTATTGGAGTGTTATATTAGAGTGCTAGGTTTTTGTTCGTAACGTGGGATTTGTTATAGAATGAGGAAAAATTCAAAACTTCTATAGTTCAAATTTCCTAAATGTGTAATTTTACATTTTGATAAAATCGTTTTTATTCCTAAAAAATTAAATTCAAACATGTAAGCGACTACCTTTTTTTATGTAATTTTTACTTTAATGGAACCTTTGGGCTTATAAGAAAAAAAGATTCGAAACCGTTCACAATATCATATTTTGAGATTTATTGGTGATTCACCCTATTTTAATATTAAAATGATTGTTTATTTTACTATCTTATAATTTAATATATATCATATAAAATAATTATATGATAATTACACTTTATAGCACAATAGAACTAAAATTATTAAAATAAGCAAATAATTTAACTAATTTATTATATATAAGTATTCTACTAACATTTTTATAGAACGATAATGCTAAGATTATTAAAATAAATAATTTAAATTTAAATTAATATTATTCTTTTCTAACACATATTATACTAAAATATCGTTACATTGATTAAAGTTAACTCCATATAAGACATCATATTTTTAGAAGTGATTTACATACACATGTAACATCAAATTTGATATTGATTGATTAAAATAATAGAACTCAATACTTTTTTTGTTAAGTTTTTAGAAGATAAATTGACAAATGTCAAATTCTAAAATGATTGTGCATATTTAAGGCACATATTGATGTTTCTTGAATAATTTTTAAATAAAAATTTTGAATTTAGAATGTGTCATGCAATCTAAGTAAAGGAAAAACACTACTTATATATATATATGATAATTAATAAAATCCCTTTGAGAACTGAAATTATTAAGATTATAGAGATTTTGTACTTGATTCCCTTTGAACACATTGTTTATGATTTGAATTTGTAATTTTTATGCATCAATATGAATAACTTTTACAATGTTACTAACAAAAGGATAAATCCTACCTTTGAGTCGATCTACCTTAAGCATTTTTTCATATAATAAAATATTTAAATATTATCATATAAAAATATATAATAGGTTATAATCAAGCACTACTTGAAGCATATATTTAAAGACATCTGCACCACCTTCTTTTTTTCTTTTTTTTGTTTTCTTTTGAGAATATGAAAAACATTTATATTAAAAAATAACAATATAGGCTTTAGACATAATTAAAAATATATGAAATTAGTAAAGACCTTTTTAATTAATAATCATAATACTTTGTATATCATAGAATTTTTTGATGTTTTTATTTTTTTAGAAAAGAAATATTTTGATACATGCGGAATTCATGATTTTTGATAAATTTTATTAATACAAATGAAGATTTGATGAGAATACACTTTTATTTATTTATTTATTTATTTATGACTTTGAAAGAAATTATTTTTATAAGCCTTTTACATAGAAAATTTGTTTGTAAGTTTTCAATTTTTAAAATTTTATACATATAAAATATTAATACTCAAAATTAATTTTTTATTTTAAAAATAAATTGCCGTGATAGCATGGGTCACCTACTAATATATATATATATATATATGTCCAATCCATTCCCAACATAAACTAAGACTTGAACACAAATAAATAAATCAATAAATAAAATAGTGACAAAATAAAAATAAAAATGAAGGACATAAATATTTTGTCAATTAACCATTTAATCCAAAGGATTAGTCATCTATGTCCCACTTCATCCAAGGTTTTGAGTTATTCAAAATATGAGAAATTATTAGTTGAACTTTTAATTTTCTTACCAAATAATAAATTAACACTAGACACGAATTTCAATCCCAGGGTTCTCTATCTCCCAAACAAAGGTCCTTCCAAGAATTATAAGTGAAATGAGTTTTTATCTATCACTATGTTTACATATAACATAATTTCACTTATCTTTACTAATCCAAACAATTAATACGAATAAAGAGAAATACAATTATTTTACTGTCTTTTTAAATTGCCCAATCCAAACATGATGTGAATTTCTTAGCAAGTGCCTTTTCAGTATTTCATTAACAAAATCCTTAAAATTTTTGTCTAAAAGTTTATTTTTTCAATTATAACAATCAATACACTATCATTTTTCAAAAAAGATTTGTTTATACCTAATTTTATCACTATAAAAGAAGACACCTGCAAATGCATAATTTTATCTCCCAATTTATTTTGCTCTTCCAATCTCTCCACTCACACCAATCCCATTTTCAATTAGCAAAATCGACAATTATTACAAGCTCTACAACCTGAATTCTGTAGAATCAAATATCAATTATTGAATATAAGTAGCCTCGATAAGAAGAGTGGGAGAAACTTATTAGTTATGAGATCAAAAAATGAGGTTCTCCCAAAATCCAGACCAAGTTGGAGGAGATTTCTATTTGCTTGTTTCAGGCCTGACAAAATGTTCCATTCCGTACACGAGTTTCTCATTGACAATGGACGAATTCTAAAATTCTACTGAAATGATAACAGCAAATCATTTTTTACAAGAAATCAGTGGACTCATATACATGCACATTATCACAATTCACAAACACAATAAAAAGAGTGGGATTTTATTGGAGAGAAGGGTACACATCATCAATTTCCTTCTTCCCAAGTCCGACCCCTCTCTCTCTCTCTATATATATATATATCTCTATATATATATATTTATACAACCAAAAAATATTTGCCATATTTATGATTTTAACTTTCGAAGCACTCAAATTATGCTTGCTTCATAAATACAGTGAAAAAGCCGCTGATCAATCAGATATTATCCCTTCAGCTAATTCTCTATGAATGATATACCGGAAGGTTGAACTCTGCGGTAACCAGTGAATGTGCTTGTCAGGTCTCCCCTTCAAGCATTTTATGATAGCCTTTTGTTGAGCTTCATCAGTTAGGCAGCCATTAACCTCTTTTAACAGCCCAGCCACATCCAGTGACATATCCTTAGCGAAGTAGTAAAGCATTTTTGGCAGGGATATTTTTTTTTCCTTGTAGATATAGACACTAGCTTGTACGAACTCTTCTTTGGCAAGTTTGAGATCATGAAACACACTACTTGCTGTGTAGACTCGAACCTACATCCATATACCCCCATTAAAAAAACCTTTAAAAAAAAAAAAAAAAAACTAACTAAATTCAAACTGTGATTACTGCTCTGGGAATCCACTAACAGGAAATTCTCAGAGAGGGCTTTCATACCGCAGGGTCAGAGTATGCCCCCGAACAAAGCGCAAAATGAACAAGTGGCTCTGGATATTCAATGGCATAAACATGTCTCGTGCTTCCCATCTTATACTTCTTTCCTGCATACAGCAGTGCTTGCAGCCACTGTCGAGAAAAGTATTTGTAAATGATTTTTTTTTATTTAAAACAATGAAACATTATGTCTTCAAGTATCATAGGGCATTAATTAACTGGCATTTAAGTTCCTAGTTTCTAGCATTTCCATGATTTGAATATAGTCAGCTGGCATTGTTATAATTTGGTTTGAAATGGATTGACCACCATCATGTTAATTTCCTTGGCTATGTGGATTTCCAACGTGAAAGAACCCTACATATGCCAAAAAGGCATAAGAATTGAATTAAAAGTTTGAACCATTAATGAATTGAGTTTGAGACACGGAATGACAGAGAAACACCCCCTTTTCCCCCTATGACTTGTCTGCAATCAATGAAGCATAAAATAGTAAAAGAAAATAATGTTTTATTAGTGTCAAGTTATCAAAACTTTCATGCATAATAATGTGTGCATGTACAGGAAGTACACAGCATACCGGCAGCGAATGGTGTGACCGGATTCCTAAGATGGAGCTTTGAATGATATAAGCATTTATGCAATGTCCACCCACATTATACACTGCCTGAAAGATCAGATTGTGACTGAGCCATTAATATTTGCTGAATATAGACATTCTGATAGATGTATGGACCAAAAGAATAATCACGCGTGTTTTTACCTTTAAAATAGAAGTACTTCTTACATGAGTATGAGTTCCATATGCTAAATATGCCTGCAAGGAAGCAAAAAGAAAAAAGAAAAAAGGAAGCAAATACTAAATTGATCACAGGATGCAAATTTAATTATAGTCAGTCTTAGCATTATGGAGAAGTTGACCCAAGTAATCGGGATTGAAGGATTTGTTGACTTAGGCGAGTCTAAGAAAAACACACAACTTAAATTGACATTTATTAACATTCCACATCTTCTGATAGGAATGCTGTTTATAATGTGGTTTCCAGACCTGTATTTCCTCCATTTGTTATAGTGTTTATTCAACAATTATGTCTCAAGAGTACGTGCTTTGTTAGGAAGCTAATGTTAGAAGGAAAGTTCAAAGTTCTGTAAGCCATACATGCATCACCAAGGCATTGTGAATGTTGATCCAAAATGCAAGCTTTTCTTCGCGTTTCATCTTCCTTGGGTCAATCTTCTCTAGACTTTTAACCAAAGACCTACAAAGCTTTGAAGATAAACAGATGAGAATAATTGGACGGATAAATAAAATTATTTTCCCTTACAGAGAAAAGCTAATCAACATCTCCCCCTTTCCTTGAATCTGAGGGGCTGTTATTGTGTTCAGCAATTCCGGTCAGGCTAATTGGGACCTCATTCAGTTTTATTTATTTATTTTCTCTCTTGAAAAAGAAACTAGGAGAACCAACTTGAAGTAGGTCTTATAATTCTACATTTTCTGTCTTGTCTTGCCATAAGTATCAACATTGTTTACTGAGCAGCAAAATGAGGAAACAATCATTCATGTTTAAACTGTGTAGACCCAATTTTGGGCTTTTCAGATAGCCATAGGATGGTGTAAAATGGACAATTATTTGAGATTTTCAGGTCCATCCTAGTAAACAAATGGATATCTTGGTTGAACTTTATGCTAGTGGATAAACAAAAGTGCATCACCTTAACTTTTGTAGCATTCTAGCAGCATAGTTGAAGCTATTATCATCTAAACATATCTTTGAGACTTCTATCATTGCAGCATATGGTATGCTCTCCCCTTTGAACCCTTGAAATTGTCCAAGCCCTGTAGCTTCCCCATTGCAATGTGGACTCCAACTATCAGAAACATTTCTTGGAGAAAATATACTTGAGGAGGACAAGGATGAAGTGGAAGAAACTGAAAAGCCTGCATGAGTTGAAGTAGGATTGGCAAGCCTGCAGTAAATAGAAGACATGCATTTGACAATGTCTTCAGAAAGTCTATCTGGAGTATAAAGGGCTTCATCAATGCAAGAAGCACCAAAGTGATCTGCAAGGCTGCGATGGCCAGGATCAGCACTCTTCTGGTCCTGCAAACATGGAGAGTTTGTTAAATGGACTCTTCTAAATGTGTTGGATGCTTGGCACTTTGAGTAAGGATATGAGAAATGTGTCTCGACATTTACCCAACAAACATGCCTAGTAATTTAAATTTACAATGTATGGGGGAAACACTGCATAGCTATAAAATCATGCTAGACAACATAAAGTAAGCTGTTATTAACCTATCTAGGTAGTGAGGTGTATTAACCCTTACGGATGATGTTTTTGGAGGAGCAGCATGACTCAGGTTATCAAAACCAGGCAACCCACACGGAGGAGAAGTTTGAGAATGACTGGCCCTACCACCTTTCCACGTGTCAGGCTCTATTTTATAACATGATTGATCTGCTATAACTTTCATTGGTGATCCTGAGTTATACAGTAAATAGGGTCCATTGCTCTTCATTAAGGTGGGTAAATGCTGTTCAAAAGCAGTTCGGTAGAGTGAAAGAAGATAACATTCCAAATGCATAATTTCGATCTCAAGTGAGGCAATCTCCCCCATCAGCTCTGCAGAAGGCTGCAGTATACAGGCAGGCAAACATAAAGAGAGAGATCCAAATAGATCCAAACAAAGATCAAACAGTAATTATATCATATATATATGTTCTTTTCTTCTTCTTTTTTTGTGTGGGGGTGGTGGGTTGGTTGCTAAAACAAAAGGTGTACTAAAAAATAGTACTGGGAACAATGAGGCTTGAGGTGTGCATATTAATCAATATGTTTAAGAGGACAACAAATATGACTGTGTAAACCCAAAGCAAAACCTCACATCCAATAAAAGTTGAAGGTTCTAAGAATCTGAATTGACCCCTTAACTTGAGCACATTTATAATCCAAGGAAGCTGTCCATAAAGAACTAGAAAATTGATTTAGTTGGATACACTTTTGATAGCAACGAATGAAGAATCAAGAGAACATCACTTCAAAGCTCCTAAACAAGGGATATATAGTTTTAAGATAATAAACAACAGATATTTGATCTTTGCTTTTATAGTTTGAGCAATGATATAAAGCTAGATAGATATTTCAACCAGAAAGTAAGCACAAAACGCCTGCAACAAACAGGCATACAACATACAAAGTCTGACCATTTTGTTTATCATTTTTTCTAGTAACTGTTAAATAAAGAGGTTTAAACAAAAAAAAAAACCTTCATCATTGGGGCGACATATGAAGAATTGGAAGCAATGGAACTAAAACCTGGTGCCTTCTCAGATTCCCAACAAAAGGTAGACTGGTCACTGAATGTGCTCTCCAACTGTAGAGCCTGTGTCAAAACATACAAATGATAATGCAATTAAAAAGTATTCAAGTTTTGGTCAGAAGGATGTGCTCGGTTCTTTGAAAATGAAGGAAACCATGGCAAAACTCTGAATTTATTGTTCAATACATAAAATATATCTAGGTAAATCAACAGAAGGAACACCAGGATCCCAATTACTAATGTTGTGTTTGGTTGGGAGATTTGAGGATCGATTTGGAAAGGGAAATGGAAAAGGTAAACGAAATGTGAATAAAATATAACTAAATAAAATTACATGATTGATATTTGCATAAAATTTTGCCATAATGTAGAGAGGACGATAGAATGAGAACAATAGAACAGTTCCTAGTTGGTGGAAGAGGGGCAGCAGCCCAAAGGCAAGAGGTGGCATAGTTCGAGCAGAGCTAATAGTTCCCGAACTGCCTAATAGTTTGCAAGAGATATTTTAGATTCTAATTTGCATTTAACATCAAGAGTTGAGAAATTAGAAGGATATTTATACATACAGAGTTGAAAGGGTAGGAAGGCAGCCTGCTAGGTGACACGTTAAGCACATTGGTGGGCAGCAGCATACCATTGTCAGGAGGAGGAGGAGGAGGAGCACTACTGCATCTGCAAGCAGTATAGCCAACCCAACCAATTAATAATCTTCTCAATCAATCAAGTCTCATCTCATCTCATCTCAAGTGATTAATTGATTGACATATGAATACAGTCTTTTTTAACTGGGAATTTTTTTATAAAAACAAAAAAAAACAAAAAAAAAGCAAAGAAAAAAAAAAGGTTTTACCCCTGCAAACTTGAAGAGAGGCAGGAATCAAAGGATCCCAAGTTCACTCGCAACATCATCTTCTTCCCCTTCTTCTTCTAGTACTCCCTACTGAAAGAAGCAAATTACACAGACAGTCTACTCTACAGATAACAACAACAGTACATATTTAATGAGCAAAAGTTGGGAAACTATAATATAAAGTGGAAAAAGGAAGAATCCACCAAGAGGAAAAGACGAAGAAGCTACATTATTGTTTTTTTTTTTTTTTTTTTATAAAAAAAAAAAAAAAAAAAAAAACCAACAAATCTAACACAAGGAGATGCAATTGGTTGGATTACCAACACCACCACCCCTATGCCCTAACCCACCCCCTACCCAACCAATATTTACAAACAATCAATCAGGATTCAGACACAAACTAATCAACTGCTACACCGACAAAGCCCACCCCCCCTCCCCAAATTTTTTGATTTTATTATAGAAATAGAAGATTACTACCAATGAGAGGTGGAGTGGGTCAACAATTTCTTCGATGAAAAAACACGAGGAAAAAAAAGAAAAAAGGGTGGGGAAATGCTTACACAAGAGAGACGCAGCATCCAGTTTAGAGAGCGAACGAGTAACAAACAAAAAAAAAAAAAAGGAACTTTCATCTCCTACTGACTGAGAGACTGAACAAGGGCTGTAAAGTAACACCAAATTATTGTCATTATATACTTTACAATAAAGAAGAAGAAGAAGAAAGTGAAAGAGAAGCGACTAGTAGTGATTACCAGTGTGCGCGACGTTCTTCGGACGGATCGAGTAAAATTATAAATTAAATGATAGATTAGTGAATTAATAGGTTGATAAATTATGATTTGAACAGTTTTTGATTGAATAATATTTTAATTAATTATCATTCATTAGAAGTTAAAATATATATATATATATATATTAACTATAGCGGAACGGAGCGGTTCGGTTGACGGATTATAAATTTTAAAATTTAAACCACAATTAGCGGTTAGAGCAGTGCGGATTGATGCGGATTGGTGCGATTTTAGCAGGTTGGGCGGTATTTTACACGGCTCTAGTAGTGATGATGATGATGATAAGGATTGAAATTATGACGGGTATGTGAGGAGGGACTTGGGTTTGGGGAACAGGTAATCAGTTACTGTCTGTCGGCACGAAAATAAAAAAAATGATAATAACAATTCGAACTCGAGAACCCTTCATACTACCTACAATGAACAAAAACACAATAAAATAAAATATAAGATAATAAAAACAAATGGGGGAAAAGGAAAAGACAATGGATTGAAAGTTGGGTAAGTGGGAGTGTAGGGTTTAGGAGGTGGGGCCGAAGAAGAAGAAGAAGAAGAAGAAGAAGAAGAAGAAGAAGAAGAAGAAGAAGAAGAAGAAGGAAAACAGTTAAAATGATTAGGACTCTGCCAAGTGCGGGAACCACACCACCAGGTTCGCCACCATCCTGCCATATCACTCAATAATGTTGCTGCATTTTGGGGGCGGCGGGGGAGTAGTTTATTATCTTTGCTCTGCCCACCCCACACCCCATCCTCTGCGTCCGGATCCTAGCCCCTAAAACGACGTCGTTTTGGGGTAAAACTAATCCCTCAAAAAAATAAAAATAAAAAAATAAATCTGGGAAAAAGAGTCCTAATGCCCTTCCACTCCAACGAGAAGACCTACAATAATTGATTCAAGCCACTAAACACCACTGAAATTTCTTGATTATCTCTCTCCACATTTTTTAGATTGTTGAATGTTAAAGCAGAAGCAGAGATTGTTGAATGTTGGACCAACAATGCAAATTTCAATTTAAACAAATCAAAGCCATTAATGAATAACTAAGGCATTATTATGTTGATTCAGTAATTTCAACCCTAAGCAATCCAAGTTTCCTATGTTTTCTGGGTTCGGTAATAATCTGAAGCAGCGTTGGCCTCGTTTTGTTAGTGTGATTTTGAAATCAGATTTAAGCCAAACCCATTTCGTTACTATCAATTTCAAGCACACCTTTCCTTTTATTGTGTAAATTGATATAGAACCCGCCTCGGTACAACCTTTCAGCCGCGCAATTGCTCTTCCTTTTATTCCTCCCTACGTCGTCGTCCACCCTCGCACCACAGCAGCGCCTCAAACCCACTCTCGGACCACCGCTAGCGCGACCCCTCTTCATCCTATTCTTCTCGGTGATCTGAAAACCCTTGTTTAGGAGAAGAGATCTGAGACAGATTTGAATGACATCTGCGATAGAAAAGGAGATTTGCAACAATGAGAGAAGAATAAGGACAAAGAGGAGAAAGGTTGCCAGAAACGAAGGTTGCCGGAGAAAGAATGGGACGCTAGTGATGCTCTCTGTTCATCCTCCACTCAATTTCTGCTTTTTTGCCGGAGAAAGAATGGGACGCTAGTGATGCTCTCTGTTCATCCTCCACTCAATTTCTGCTTTTGTGCCATTTTTTTTTTCAATTTTTTATTTTGGGGTTAGGCTTCCCAAAATGACTTTTCTTTTTCTATTTTTTTTGCAACTCACAAAAAAAAAAAAAAAAAAAAAGTGAAAAAGTCATAAAAAAAAGTTAAAAAATTATCATTATTCACAAAAAAAATATAAAAAAATTATTTTTTTACAAATTGTGAGATAACTCACTGACGGAAGGCGACTGTGCTTGACTTTGGTGAGGATAAATTACACAGGCGGAGGCAAGCTTAAGGACTGTGTTGTTCGGCCCGTGGGGGCCATCACGGATCCCGTTTTGATAATCCGAATCATTCAATGTGTAGAACTCGTTGAGTACTATATGCCTATAAAAAATCATGTTGGTCGAATATAGCTAACTATATAATCAAATCAGTTTTGTATAAAAAAATGGACGGTGTTATAGTTAATGGTTGAAAAAAAACTAATCCGATCAAATAGCTATCGATATTCGATCAATGTGATTTTTTACAAGTATATAGTACTTGACTAATTTTATACATTGAACGGTTCCGATTAGCATAACAGGACCCGTAGTAGGCTCCCATAAGCCGAACAACACCGTCTAATTTATGCCCACAAAGGAGAGAATCATCTCTTCCCCTACACACTACCACACTGCCCCTTACACTGTCGACCGTACGGCCTATTCCATCACTAATTTCTCCTATATACTTATTTATATAATTTTTTAATACATATTTTTTTATAAAAAGTCAAAAAATTAACCCAAACATCTATATTTTTTTCTTTAACTTTTTAATTTAAAAAGATAAAAAAATATACTTTTTTTTTAGGACACCCTAAACAACTACGGTCCCTACAGAGGCTCTGGAATCCCCTAACCCTTCACTAATTTCTCCTAAAAAGATATGCATTCAATTCAAATTACATACGTTGCATATTTCTCATTAATTTGTGTTTAAAAATAAAAAATAAAAAATAAAAATAAAAAGTCAACTCAAAAATCACTTTGATTAGTTTTTCAAACCCAAAAATTAGTTTTTCATTTTTTTTCCCCCATATTTCACTAAAAATTTTAAATTTTTTAATTTATCTAACCTAAAAACACGTCAGGTACCCTATTCCCTCTTATTCACGTAGACTAGATTGGTAGAATTTTGACCTGTGACTTCTCTTTCATGATTTAAATTGTTAATGTTATAATCTCATATGTAAATTATTTATAAAAATAAATTAAGTTGATTTAATAATTATGCCTATTTTATTTAGGCACATCTATTTTTAAAAAATAACCGTAAATACAATTTAAAAAAAAGATAAGTTCATTTTTTTTTTTAGAGGTTCACCATGCCTAAATGGTGGGTTATTGATAGCGGGTGATAGTGGTTATTGGTGATGACTTGATACCATTGCAAAATAAGTAAAAAATGAGTGTAACAGTGATATCATGTTATTATATTAACACATGATAATATGCCATTTAATATTTAAATATTTTGGCCTTATTAATATATGTTCTTAAGACGAATGTTAATAAATTTTAAAAGTTTGTACATTAAAATTCTACGTGAAAGTGATTGTATTTAAAAAGATATAATCATTTTAAACTTGTTTAAAATATACTTAAAGGATACACATTAACAAAACAATAATGTTTGAGAGCTATAATTTAAGAGTTCTAATGTAATTTTAATGATGTGAAGAGTATTCATGTGAAGATAGAGTCCACACTCCTCTCTCTATCTCTATCTACTTTCTCTCTCTTTTATCTCACTAGAGTTCTATTTAGAGCTTTCAAATTAGATTACTCTTAACAAAATTCCTTTTAAGTAATAACACTATTTCTTTTGTACAATAAGTTGATTGTGTCTAAAATAATAATTTATTATTAAATAGGGAAGGGATATCTTGTGGCTATTTGAGATGTAATTTGAAGAAGATAATGCTCATTTTGGTTCTTTCATGCAATTTGTGCCACTATTACTCAAATTTAAGTTTGAGTAGTGTTATTCATGCTAAAAAAAAATTAGATTTATTTTTTAAATTTAATTATGTAACAATAATTGTATATTATTTCTCTTTTTAAGTTATCGAGAAATGAATAACAGAACAATATTAGCTATTAACAGTTGGTGTATTTATGTCCCACCCCTGTTACATGTAAAAAGCCCATACAACACTGCACAACAAAAAACAGCAACAGGGCAATATCCTATCCTATCCTATCCTGCTAGTAGTACTACACTACGGTGAATCATGAAATCAAACAACCATTCAAGTCCCAGGTATAGCATACCCCTTGTTCTTGTCATGTTAATGTTAATATTATTATATTATATTATTAAATGTCTGAGGAGGGAGATAGAGATACGAGGCTAAGAGAGGAGACACGTCAAAGTTCGTGTGGTGGTGGTGTTGGTGGTGGTAGAGTGAAGGTGTGAACCCTATCAATTGGTGCTCTTGTTTTAGAGCTATCAAACAACCAGATTGGTGGGTTTTCTTGCTTCATATCTTCTTATTAATTGGGCCACCTCTCTCTCTTTTTTAAAAAGTAAATAAATAAATCCAATAGATAGCAGAGATTGCATCCATGTTTCGCTGAACATCAAAACAACACACTACAAGAAATAACAGTTTCACCGATCAAAATATTAGTCGCTAAATGTCACTTTTTTAGTCGTCAAAATCAATTAGGGACTAAATTTTTTTGTCGCCAACTTAGTCGCCTAAACCTTGTCGGCGAATGTTTTAGCGACTAAACCCGTGTTTGGTCGCTGAAAATGCAACATTTGGCTACTAATTTTTTTAGTCGGCAAATGTTACCTTTTGGCGACTAAAAAAATAGTCGCCGAAAAGGTAATTTTTAGCTACTAAATTATTGGTCGCTAAACGTCAACGTTTGGCTACTAAGTTGGGTTAGTCGGCAAAAGTGACATTTTTGGCGACAAAAATATTAGTCACTGAAAGTTATAACAAAAATAATTTGAATTATTTAAAGACTAAAGTTTTAGTCGCCAATTGAACTATTTGCCGACTATAGAATTTAGTCGCCAAAGGATGCCAACTTTAATTCATTTTGCTACTACATTATTAGTGGCCAAAACATTTGAAAATAGTTTTTGGCTACCAAAATAGTTAGTAGCCAAATACTATATTACAAATAATTTTTTTTTTTTTAAATTTCTGAACTACCTATATCCATTATTAATACAACCTATACAATGTATAAACAATAAAATCCATCAATACTAAATATATATTATCAACCATTCGACAACGTGCATGCCAAAAATTCCATTCAACATCCAATTCCATTCCATTCCATTCCATTCGACATATGTAATACAAATTCCATACGACCCAAGTATATTCCAACCTCAATAATTTAAAAATATACATAATAGAGGAAATCTGTACCACACTAAAAAACTAATATGTATCGTCCCAAAAACTAATTTATACCACGTCTGTACGGGGAGCAAACCATGCCATATTTGAGATATTTATCATGCAAAACAATTATTACTGAACGAACCACTATATATACGGACAGAGGTATAAAAACAATGCCCTTCCGTACGTGTCAAAAAAAGTCATATCCACATTTGTACGTCCAAAACCATCTGCAAATATTTTAAAAAATTAAATTCAAAAAATTACAACCGAAACATTCACATATCTTAGTTTGTGGGATGGAAGTGAATGTGTGCCCCCTTACCCAATATGCTCAGGGCAAGATCCAAACAACCAGATTGGTGGGTTTTCTTGCTTCATATCTTCTTATTAATTGGGCCACCTCTCTCTCTTTTTTAAAAAGTAAATAAATAAATCCAATAGATAGCAGAGATATTGCATCCATGTTTCGCTAAACATGAAAACAACGCACTACAAAAAATAACAGTTTCGCCGATTAAAATATTAGTCATCAAATGTTATGTTTTTAGTCGCTAAAATTAATTAGTGATTAAATTTTTTTGTCGCCAACTTAGTCGCCTAAACCTTGTCAGCGAATGTTTTAGCGACTAAACCCGTGTTTGGTCGCTGAAAATGCAACATTTGGCTACTAATTTTTTTAGTTGACAAATGTTACGTTTTGGCGACCAAAAAAATAGTTGCCGAAA